GGAGGAAGCTTCGGTTAGAAACGAACCGGTTTGCCGTTTCCGCGATCCTCCTCTGTCCGTAATCGAATACTTTTCTGCTTCATCGAGGATGTCTAGCAGCAGGGGAAAATGAGAGAAAAATGAGAAAAAGTGAAGCGCCGCGATGCCGAACGGACGCAGTTACCTCGGGACAGGTGGAGTTATTTTAACGAATGTAATTATCCGGGCGAGTGGGCCGATTATAAGCGTACGAAACGGTCGGCCGCTTGGACGCGGTTGGGGGGCAGTTCTGGCCATTTCTTAGCGACCATCGCCCAGCGTGATCGTATCGCGGTCCTACTATTAGTACGATGATATATGTCATCATTATATCCTCCTTATTGCGTTAACCGCATCCTGTGATTTACGTCCCAAGGACCTGCTTCACTTCCGTTCTTTTTCTCTCGTTTTACGACCCGGCCCGTTTCGCCAATGACTCAACGTTTGATACAACGTGCCGATGCACTGCCACAATGTTTATGGCTTCTCCCCTTCGTGCATGCCGTTCGTCTTTTTTCCTTTTGATACCGTATGATTTATCGTGCTGTCCTCGTGGGCGGACTACGGCGAAAGGAAAAAGTCACCGCGGTTCTTCCGTTCGAGCTGCGGCACGAAACGCAGCGCGAAACGTGTCAAGGTGCGACTGGAAAACGCGGCCCCCTCGAATTCGCCTTTGCGCGATAGGTATCGCTAGTATAGAGCTCTCGACGAAACGATTCGCCGACGACGATCCAAACTAGAGTCGTTGTTCTCGGTAACGCTCTGGATCGGAATCGTTTATACGGTTGGAGAGAGGTGGATTCGCGACGGAGGAATATTACGCGGGAATGGAAAAATTCGCGACATCGTCGGAACCTCCCCAGAGAGTGGCGGAAGACGTCGCGAGAAGGATACCTCGAGCAGAGAGACCTCTGAATATTCGCGCGGGACACCGTAACGGTGGACTGTTATGGAAGATGCGGCGAGCCTCACGTGAATCACATCGTGTACGCGGATAGCGGTAGTGCTCGGCCAGTAAACATCGAGAATATTGGTATAATATGTAGATCTAAGCATGTACGTGGGTTGTCGGTAATGCCCTCATAAATCAGCTCCTCCATTGTTTTCCCTCATCGAATGACCCGAGCGTTGCTGCACGGTAGTCTCCCGCATTCCATATTTCTGTTCGGGATATTACCGGCATCCGGTATAAATCCTTTGGAGCATCAAGCAGCTCGGTACTCGCGAGTTGCGCGCCCGCCCCGAGTCAATCGTGCAGCCGAGTCGGCGTCGAGCAGGTGTAGTATAGAGTACCATGGACGAAGCATTAACTTAATCACGCAGCCTTTTCTCTTCGGATCCCACCTCTCCGTCTCTCTCTCTCTCTCTCTCTCTCTCTCTCTCTCTCTCTCTCTCTCTTTCTCTCTATTCCCCTCTCCCTCTCTTCGTCCTTCGATGGTGTTGAACGACACTGATGGCCGACCATTAGTCGAGGTTTACGGTTTTAGACAGATTTGTAGTCGTCAATGCCAATAGCTTATGGAGTTCCTAGGCGAAGTTGTCTATTCGAGTCGGCTATCGGAGAGCTATCGAGTTCGGTCCGCGCTTTGTCAGCGTTACCGTAGGCAGCGTTATTTATGGTAGGCGTATATTAGCGAACGAGATCGCCGTTTAATAGCGTATATCATTGTCTTATAACGTTGAATTATTAACGTCGAATCAATTAGGGATACCGTTGGCGAATCCTTCGAACCTGCTCCGTGAAAATCGCGCGCGGCCCACCTTCTCGAGAGCGAGCCTCGGAGAGTTCATCAGCGGCTTCCGTTCGCGGGGAACGTTTCGAAAGTCGGCCGAGATTTACGAGCGGGTATCGCGAGCAGAGATAAGTTACGTGTGCAAGATGGAGCCGAATTTCACGCGGAATATATTCACGCGTGGCGATCAGGATGACGAAGAACTCGGGGACGGGACAGGAGAGGGACGAGCGACGCGAAAAGCTTGGAGACTCGTGGCCGGTCGGTGTGCGGTTGCTGCTGGAAAGAAGAACGAGGCGCGAAGATCGGGGGCGAAATCGGATTAACGTGGAGATTGCCCTTTGGAGCGGGTGTCCGTGGCACGGCGGAGCGCGCGTAATCAGCCCGGTTCGACGATTAACGTTATAAATATTCCGCTAATGCCCGGCTGTTACGCAAGCGTTTCGCCTTCTTATTGCTAGCAGCTGCATATGGAGAACGGCCGCTGGCACGGCGCTCGCATTCGTCGATGATTTCATACATTATTTCAAAGCCGCCCCACCTGGCCTTCCCGACAGGGGAGAAGACGACGGAGACGGAACGTATCTGGCGTCTTACCGCAAATCACTTTCATAGTCCTGTTTTTATGACCGAAAGTTGTAATTTATGGTCCACACACGATCGGCACGGGGTCCGCCGCGCGAGAAACGGATTACGCCGATCGACTTTTACCAGAAGCCACGGCGGGGCTTTCAAAAGCTCTCTCCCGATCGCCATTAGCGAGAGCTAAAGACGTGGCGTGGGAAAGGAGAGGAAGGCCGGAGCGGAGTCAGCGTGCGTGCACGCCTCCGTGCAGCGTTCCGTATCTCGTTCTCCGCCGCGCTCTCTGCCGATCGGCCGCGTTCGTGCCCGCGTTCGTGCCCGCGTTCGTGCCCGCCTTCATAAACGGCAATACACCGTCCACAGGCTCGCTGATAATTAACTAGGCGCGACGTGTCTCCGCGCGCTCGTTAATTAGCAATTTTCCCTTTTCCTTTCCCGTTTAATCGCGCCCTTTCGCAGTCCGTCGTCTCGAAACGGTTCCACGACGACCGCGACGATGGCAAAATCGCGACGTCCAGTTGGCTCGCGAGGAATCCACGCGGAATCGACGCTGAATCGACGCGGAACCGCGATACCACGGGTGCTGGACGTTCTCCCGGATCGTAATAACGCAATCACCGCGAGTTGGCGCGAGGCGAAATTATTTTATCGATTTCCAAGGTGGAAACGAGGATTCGCCGGTGGATGGATACGGTTCTCCCACCGCGACGGCATAACCGATGCGTTTTAACGGCGAATACCGCGTCTATATTCGGGTCGTTAATGCACCGTCCAGAGGAGCCGATTCAATTTCAGCTGCAATCACGCCGCATTACGGAAAATGGGAGAAATCTAGCGAAAGTAAACGTAACGTCGGCTACGGTACCTGTTGCAACTGCCGCGTAATAATGCGATATATAATAATAATAAGAGGATAATAACGTCTCGGGCTGCCAGAATATTCGTAGACGTAACGAACGTACGCAACGCGAGTATTTTCACCCCGTTAGATACGCCCGTGGATCGTTTCCTCTCCAACTTTACGACCACGCGCCGGCTTTTTAATCGGCTCGGGACGCTCGTAAATTCCACGCTTCGGAATCTAGATATCCCTTATTAATTGGGTGACATCGCGCGTTCGTTGCGTATGGAAAATCACCGCTGTTGTACCTAATTTTATGCCGGCATTGCGCAATAACGCGACGTTATTTTATAATTCGTCGTACCTCGATAGCGTTACCGACGATAACGCTCGACTCTCCTTTTAACGAAACGACTTTATTAACGCACTTAGCCGCGCTGCAGAGGCCTTTATCGCCGTTCCACGAGCTTTCCGATGTCATTTGCGCAAGGTGCCTAGGGTGTCGCGAGTCGTAAACGCGAAACGCGCGTCCAACTGCGAACGCTTTTAACCGGGAAACTGGAGTGGAGAAAGCGGCGTGTGTTTGGGAAAAACTCGAACCAGTGGAAACGTCGACCTGCGTCGCGGCGTTATAGCCACGAGGCAATCTCGTGGCACACTCGTCGTAAACGTCCGCGAGCGTGATACCGCGCAGCGTGCGTAACCTAATTTCAATTAAACCAAACGTTTCTTCGCAGCGTGCGAGAAGACGCGATCTTTATCGACGAGCCGTCTTAGGATCGGAATTTTCCGCGCGTCGATTAAAATTCCGTCGCTTCTTCCTCCTCTCTTCGGAACTAGCTAGTGTCGCGAGGCGACTTTCGCGCGGAAGCGATTTACGTTGACACCGCGGCGAGATGCGATCTTAATTATTCCAGCGCACCGGTACGCCTGCCACCGTTCCGCGACTACCCTTTCTTTCGTTTCTGCTTCAAACGACCGGTGTAATTGATCCATTAGAGCGCCCCTGCTGTTTCCTGGTCGACTCGTATCAGCGTAATCGTGTCGTGGAATGCAATTCCGCGAGGTGTCCGCATCGATTCGCGTCGGCGTCGCCGGAAAATTCAGTCCGACACCGCGGTCATCGCTCTTCGTCGCGCTGCTCGCGAAACCGCGCGAATTCCATCGGCGACCACGCCACGCGTACGTCCAATATCGACGTCCATAGGGGAAAGAGGACGGTGAGGGGGAGAGGAAAAGGCGAGAGAAAACGCTAAATATCACGGTCGTAAAGCGAAACGGAATACGCGTGGCAATTTTTACGCTACGCTTATCGAGAGTCGTACGACGAGACCGGGAAATTTACACGCGAATTAAACGGGCTTGGATATCGATCTATGTAACGGAGAGTTCGCTTATACCTATCCGCGACATATACAACACGGTGTTTTAATGGAAAACTACTGTTCGACGATCGTCGACCTTTCAGTGCGCGTACGTCGACCGAATTCGTTGCATAAGCCCGCGACGCGCGGAAAAGAATACTCGATTCGCGTTCCGCGAGTATTCGTCGAGACAGAGACGCTTCTCTCTCGGTTTGTAAATTCAATCGACGCGTGTACGTATCGGCGACGTGACGCGCGAATTGTCGGATTTTCGCGGGGAACCGGGTGAAATCGCAAGGTGTCCGACTGCATCCCATTGTTCCCGGGATAATTTTCTGCGAAGGGCAATTTCGTTTGCAAGGGGGCCATTACGATTGCAGTAATAGCGCTCATCAAGCCTGCTGACCGCCTATCACCTTTACCTTCGTCTTGTCTAATTACAGGTCGCGTTTATTGTTTCAGGATGAGAGCGAGCTCTCGAGCAAGCGGTGGGCCAGTGCGCCCCGCCGCCCGGACAGCCCCTGCGTCCTGGGGGCACCAACGTCTAGGGAGGTATGTTGCATTTTCTTACCGTTTCACCTGCTTCCTCGTACTCTCCGCCGATGGCCGACAATGCCGCGCGAATAAACGGTGGTTCGTTTTCCAGTCTCGATCGACGATAAAACGATAACGTCTAGATCGCGCTGTGGCACGAGAGATCGGTGGACGGGTATAGCGGCGGAGTATTACTCGAGCGGAATGCACCCTTACGTTCGTATTCGAAAATATAAATATTAATCGGCTTTTGCTCGCTTTCGAAGTTTCACGAAAACGTAGAACCGTCTCGCGAGATTCCGTATGAGCGGATAAGCCGATCATCGACGTTAATCGTTTCTCGAGTTAACGCGGATTTCATCGCCGTACCGTGGCGATAAAATAAAGTTGCTCGAAGTGACTGGAAACGGAACGATTTATTTCTCCCGTAACGAGACCGCTTTGTGCGAAGAACACAATGTCTCGCCCTCCGCGCTCTTATTCTCGCGCGCGGCGTAAACCCCATCTTGGAATTTTCTCAACCCGAGCGCGTATCAAATCTGATACGTGGACTCATCGCGCTAATTACGCCACACGAACACGCGTTCGCGTATCGCTGGATAATTCGCATTCTAGTCTCACGAGAACCGGCAACACCTTCTGCGTAGCATCGCGGCAAGTTCGAGCCACGCCGTGCTTCGACCTTCCCACGACCGTGTCTGTCCAATTTTTCCCGATTAGGCCTACGGCCGGAGCCTATTCGCCGGCGTATCTCCATTTGTTTACGCGGCGAGGCAGCGATCACGATCGGCGATCGGTATCGAAGCGCGTGTCGATTGGCCGCGAATGGAAACCCGCTCGATTCCGCGCGGTACGTGATGGCACCCGAATCGCGATGTCGGCCTCGTGTGTAGACGCGTCAGAGCATCGTACGCTTACATATATACATGTATCTGGCGTATATGTGGGCTACTAATAGGGACCGTCAGGGTTGTTAGCAGCAAGAAGCACGGTATGTCGGCACGTCACTCCCGGAAGAACGATTAGCGGCGAGACCGCGAGGCGAGGTGTCGATTTAGGTACGTGATCGTACAAGGACTCGGATCGCGCCAATGAACCTGGCTACGAGATACCTGGACGCTTTCTTGCCTCGATCTCGTTCATAGCTCGGCTTTTTCCTCTTTATCGCGTTCCGGATGGGTCACCGGACGGGTGATTTACGATAATCGCCGCCGGTGGCGCACTTTTAACGCCTTTGTCTCGCGTCTGGAGCGTGAGCCAGGTACGCGCGATCAGCGGAGCAGAGCGTGGAGAATTCGACGTTACCGCGCGGTACACGCGTGTATCGCGTCCCGTTAAACTTACGTACGCGCGTTCCTCTTAAAAATCCAGCCAAAGCAAGCGACCATGCTCGTAAATTACTCGCGACGCGGAACCTATTAGTACCTACCGAGCCGTGGCTACCTCGGGCGAATCCGGGCAAAATTTAACGAGTCCTCGAATCAAAGAGAATTATTCCGTTGATCTAACGCGTCGTTACGGTCGGAAAATCGCCGCGGAGGTTAGATTACCGGGCACAAAGGAAATGGCACAAAGAGCGCATTACGTCTACCTGTAGGAGAATATTCATAGTCGGCGCGACAGGGACGCAACGCGGTCGCAACGCGGATGATGGCCTTACGACTTATTCGTAGGACTTATTTGCGAGTACGTGGCGCCACCCACAGGGTCGGGCTCTATGATGGGTGTGACTCGTGTTGGTATTCGCGATGCATATTACTACGTGGCGCGGCGGTAACGCGGAGAATACGCGAACCGCCTCTCGCAAAAGGTAGTCTTTCTCCGGAGGCTACGCGTCCGTCTAACCGGTGGCTCGTAAATGCACGCGCTGGTCGTGATTAGACTCGGAGACAATGGCCCGTAGCACGCGTCGTCGTCGCGTATCGCAAGCGTATTGTGCGTTTTTTAAGCGCGTCCGCTCGATGCCGTTTATTTGCATACCGGTATAGTTGGGCCTGCCTAACAGAGTCTCGAGGAACTCGCGCGTAACAGTAATCGTTTGAAATGGCCTGTCGCGTACCATCTGCCGCGAGACAACGTTTCCGAACCCGCGCGCCGCACCGCCGCACCGCCGCCGTCGTCCTCGTGGCTCCAGGCTCGTCACTGCCGCGCGTTAAATCGCCGTTGGCCCGAGAAATCGCGATTCGACGGCGAATTCCCGAGTGTCGTCGAGGCAGCCGTGAAACTGTAGCTTCTCGCGAAAACCAACGTCCCCGGTTTCCCTCGAATATATTCTTACACCTCGAAACGTTTTCCCGCAACGCGCGAACGAAATTGAATCGTCGGAGGCGTTATCCGAAAAATCGACGAGATCCATCGCGATAATCGCGTGGGTAATCTCGTGCTCGGTATCTTCTCGCCTCGCGAGCCGTAGAGACAAACAGTTTGGCGAGTGAGCGATTAATCGGCTGAGGACGATTCGCTGGTCGTTAAGGATTCTTTCTTTGCGTTATTTGCCATCGGGTGATCGGTTGCACGTAAGGTCGATCGGTGGCAGGCATCCGTGCCGGTATATTTACGTTGTTGCGAGCAGTGTTGCATCGGGTACAGTTCAATTCCGTTACGTGGACGTAGCCGCGGGCTTCCCACGCCAATTAAACATGACTCATTAACGGGCAGAAGCCGGTAGCGCCGGGATCGATGCCTGGCCGAAGCCGGGCAACCCTTCCTTCTATAACTCTGCACGGCACGGGCAATCGGAACTAATCTCGACTTATCCTCTCTTCTCCGGCGGCGGCTGTTCGCCATGCGATATTACCGCCGCGCCGGTACCGGTAAACCGCATGCGCGTCGTGCTTGCACCGGCCACGTCGTCCTCCTGGGTCGCGACGTCCGCCGCGGTGCAATATTTCTCTCGCCGATTCACCCGGTACACGCGTAATCGCGTGTAAAGAGTTCGCAAAGTTAGCACGGATGCATTTGCCCCAGCTTCTCCCCTACTCCGTCGCGCTCCCTTTTTAACGTTTACCTTTTAATCCATCTCCAACCGCGTCTCGTAATTAATCTCGTCGCTCTGCCAATATCTCTTTCCATTTCTTCCCCCTTCTTTTCTTTCCCGTTTCCCTCTGCAATCGGCGCGTCGACGCGCAACGGGTCGATAATTCTGGCTGATGGGAAAAACGGGAGGATTTTTCCGCGAGATGCCGACGGAATGGCCGATAGCATCGCTCACCTTTGTACTTTCAGGAATTTCTGTCAACTGCAAGAAAATAACGGTACGTAAACTAGTAACAATACCCGTCCCCCTTGCGGCTGCTGCGCCGTGCACGTATTATGCGAGCATTAACTGTTCAACGATGCGGCGGCAGCGTGGTCTTCTCCCGAAGTCTCTACGAGAACATCGCTGTCGAACGGGGCCCGGCACCGTGCCACGGTGGAACAGAGACAAGGGACGCGGGAGAGTGCGAGAGGAAGGGGGCGAGGGGGTGAATTATTGCCCGAAGATTTCGCGATCGCTTCCGATAGTCGTGGATTCCATCGTGGCTATCGTGCTGCTTGGCCGCTTGCCTCGTCGCCTGCCTTTGGTAGCCGTGGAATCTTTCGTCGTTTGATTGCTTGTCGGATTTTCCTGGCCGATGCCAACGGGACGATACGGATAGGCTCGTTAGAGATACGTTGATGCTCGAATATATTGCAGGATTCGAGTGATTTAACGACTACACCGCTCGGACGGACCGACACGTTTCGCCGTGGAAGACGGTCTTACTCTCTTCTGCGTCGGATGTCGTATCGTCGGTGGATAGCGTGGGACTTTGGTCCAACGACCCTACTAGCCGATCCTTACCCGCTAAACGTCGTTTTCGGTACGCAAGTTTTCCCCGTATCCAATCGCGGAATCGCCACGCAGATGGCATTGCAGTCGAGCGTAAACGCGGAAACTGGGACAGGTGGAAAAGTAGGATCCACGGAGGAGACGGTGTCATCCTCTGTTCTTCGCGCGTCGAACCAAGTTTATGACACTCGAACGCTCGACAATCGCGCACGATCGACGAGGCATGATTTCACGTGTCTAGATACCGCGAGTCAGCACCTACATCTCTCTGATTTCTAATTTCGATTTCCCATCGGATGTGGGTAAATAGGCAAATAGCCGCCCACGCGATCCCGATGGACTTACGCGTCGATTCCACGGCTCGCCGTTCTTCCTTCCCTCTTATCAAACGGATCGTTAAACTTTTAGCCGATCATCGTGAAAGCCGACGATTCCATCGACTCTGGATAGCTCGTAAACAATCCTCGGGAATATGGAAAAATCGCGGTAATAAACCCGACTCGGCGATAGCCCGTTCCATTTACTCCAAGTTCAATGCTCGTCCTCTATTCTCGCGGCTAGCCGCGTTCCACGATCGCTATCCGGTGTATCCGAACGTTGCTGCAGCGCGCGATCCCCGAGAAATTCGAGCATCTCGCTCCGTCAGACGCGCGTGCTCGCGTTTACCTCTAGATACCGAATCTACTCGGCGATCCGTCCCGGTCCAGCCTCTCTCTAATTAGAAGTCGGCGACCAGCGCGGACGGAAAAATAGCCCCGGCTGGAACGACGACGGTAGCCGAGCAAGGTATCGATCGCGTACGTATATCTCTACGATCCGGTATGAACGTCGGCCCGATGGTTGGGAACGTGGGCTGGGCTGGGCTACTACCTCCGCGTAGCGGTGGACACTCCCGGATCTTGGAGTCCTCTCCGAAGGAGAAGAAGCTAGAGGAGGAGGAGGAGGAGAAGAAGAAGAATAAGAAGAAGAAGAAGAAGAAGGTGTCGTCACCGGTCGCTCCTGCGGCCGCGTGCTCTTCTCCGAATTACGTAACCTCGAGCGTACGTACGTGCACGGCCAGGCCGTGTACGCGGTTGACGGAGACTTTGGCTAAGGGAACGGGGACGCGAGGATCCGAGGAGGGGAAACGCGTACGCTTCGCACGGGCGCGCGCGCGTTCGTGCTGTTACGTACCGCACCTTCGTCACGAAGAACGAATAAACGAACA